GCTGCTTGGGCTGCTCTTTGCTCCAGCAAACGGGCCTCTCTCAGCCCCAAGTCTCCCACTTCTGCTCAGCGTAATGCTTGAAGCAGGATGTAAAATGGAGTATAGTTTACAGGCATAGGCTTTACAAAAAAGCCTTGTTATAATCGGCACCGTTTCTCTGGCTGATGATTAATAGGCTAAAAGTAATTTCTGAATGGCAGTAACAGTTCTTGAGTGTTTGAGCACTTTTAGTGGATGAAGAAAGCTGTTCTGTGTGGACTAACTTTGAGATGAATTTTGACTGGAGTCCAGCATGGCCGTTAGCGTTCACACATACACACTCATTAATTGCTGTGCTGCAGTGTTTGATGAGTTCTCGTTAACCTCCTTCAAACAAGCCACAGCCAGTTCTGATTACTCTTTATGTGAAAAAGCCCGGGGCAACTTTTAGAGAAAGATGTTTCATTCCCGTTCTATTTTTTTCCTTCTTTTGGGGGTGCTTTTTTTTAGCATCACATCTCTACTTCCAAGTATACTTCAGCAGCCGGTGAGAACTCTCACTTACTACAGCTTGCGGAATGGGAAGAGGAAAACCGTGAAAGCTGTCACCGATAGGTTTCTCCGGCTGCACAATGGCCTTTGGGTTAGGAGAAAGGTAAGATTTTTTATTTTTTTTTTTTTGGTAATAAAAGCATGTTTACAGTCAGTGGGCTAATTGTTTTCCTTCCATTAGAGGGCAGCAGCTGGTATGGAAGTTAAAAAAAGCTCCAGAGGACCCCCATCTTCCTGAAAGGGGGGAATTTGTTCTGGTTTACTTATCAGTATTGCCGTGTGTGTGTATTTGCAGCAACCCACTTAAAAGTCTTTTGTGTGTTTTCTTCTGACAGGCTGGTTATAAGAAGAAACTGTGGAAGAAGTCAACTGCCCAGAAGAAGCGTTTGAGAGAGCTGGTGCTGTGCACTAGAACGCAATGTAAACTCCTTGATAAAATGACCACTTCCTTCTGGAAAAGAAGGAATTGGTATGTTGATGATCCCTACCAGAAGTATCACGATCGCACGAATCTTCGTGTGTAGAAATCCTGGTTTCATTTTTGCGTCCCTCTAGAAAGAGGGGGTGGTACATGTGCTGTGGTCTTAATTTGAGAATGCAAACCTGTAATGGCTGTTACTTTTCTAAATAAACATATGCATATCATCTGGTCAGAATTATGGGCATCAGTGCCCAAAATAAAGGAATATTCAAGAATTTTTTGTTTTGAGCTGCGATTTGTGTTTTACTGACAGAGGTTGAGCTGGTCACCAATATGTTCTGACATCTGTTGGCTTCCTGTGGTTGTGTATAAGGTAAGTACATGGATGGGTAGTCTAACTTACTGGTAGCTCATTGAATGAAAGGGGAGAAAGAAGAGCGGAGTCCATTTCAGTACTGGTGCCTGTCATGGTACCAGGTAAGCTGTTGTCATGTCTCCGTGCTAGAGCATAGAAAAAACCCCAATGTTTCATGGCTACATCCAGATTTTGAAATGGATTTAAAAATGTACTGGCCACCAGATTTCATTACAAGACTCACGTTTTGTGTCCTGTGTTGGTTTTTGAGTGGTAGAACAACATACTCTTCAGGTCCTACACTTATATGCACAAGCAGTCAGTTCTGAGCATTTTCTTGTTTATTCTTTCTTTAAGCCTAATTATACCTCATACTGTGTAGCTCTGATCCCGTGTATATATGGAACAAACCCAAGGATTTCTTACAGGGTTCTGCTGGAGTGTATGATGCAACTGGTTTCACTACGGGCTACATCAAAGGTTTTCCCTGCAAGGGGGTGAAAGGAGTTGCTTCTGTTAGCTTCAAAACGTTCACTAATTAATCCATTGCTGAGCAGCTAGTCGCTGGTTGTCAGCTCCAGAGCCACCTGCATGGCAAGAGATGCTTTGCTGTGCAATGAATTCACTACTTAGAAAGAGT